CAAGGATTTTTGGACTATCAATGCTTCATATGACTTTCAAACATCATTATGGACCCCTAAGATTACTCATGACTAATTTCAAGCCTTGAATCACATTTTTTATCAGTCAATTGGACAGTTGACCTAAAAATCAGTTGTATAGGGGAAAAAGTCAACCATGGCCAATTTAAAGTGAAACTTCATAATTTTTTATCCACGTCAACATTTTAGACTCATACGTATCATTTGATCAATTTGGGCCACATTTCCTCAAGAAATTTGATTAAATCATCAAAAGAGCAAAATGGTCAAAATTAGGGTTTTGACTGAGAAAGGGCAATTTCTGATTTTTAACCTAGAAAATGACCAATTGATTTGAAGCATGATTTCAAGGGTTCAATTGTATCATCTTGACCTAATGACATGGTTCAAAATATTGCAATTTCATTGGATTGACAGATGAAATTTACAGTCAATTGATCAAAAGTCAAATGTATACTGAAAAGTCAAACTTTGACTTTTTAGTCAAAATCAAGTACCAAGGATCACAATTCATCAAAACATGTCAAAATGTGAAACTTGTTCATCAAGAAATCAAAGATTGAAGATTTGGTTTTGAAGTTTGAAATTTTCTTAACTTAGAAATTTTTCTAAGTATAGAAAATTTCTTATTTTTTCTCAACTTTAAGCCAATTTTCCACCATGATACAAGATGATTCAAAGAAAGTTACCAACATGAAAGTTGTAGATCTCCATGAAATCTACAACTTTGATTCACACGTTTTTCCATAAAGATGTTTGGATCTCAAGATAAAATTTTGTGAATACATGCTCATGAACTAAAATAACTTAGTGATTTTGCCCTAATTTAGGCAGGTTTTTGACCTAACTTCATGGAAATTTTTCACCTAGTTCCAAGAGGAATATTGAAATGCATTTCAAAGATGAGTTATATAGAACATTGCAAGATTTCCAAAATGTCCAAGAACTCCTTGAGATCATTTTTGAGTAGGGAGAATCAAAGAGATGAAGTTGGCAATTTCTCACTTTGATTTCAAGCCATTTCATGAAGAACAAAATTCAAATCTGAACCTATGTTGCCTAATCCTTGCTTTACAGGTCTCAAACTTGTTTCTCACTTCATAATTTAATGCTTACACGGATGATAAAGGCTTAATCCAAGCACAAGAGTCTTTGTCCAAGCTTTAATTCCATAAATGGCACAAAGTTGCCATTGCCATTTTAAAAAAGTATAACTTTTGCAACTTTTCACTTCTTGAGCATTGGACCTGTTTTCTCTGCACACACAAGTCCTATAAACCAAAATCAAGTTGTCTAGGACTTGTACTAACTCCAAGCAGGCCTGTACAAGCATGTAGAGAGTGGTCTCTTCACTTTTCTTAAAAGGCAAGCAATAGAGCAAAAAGCCTATAACTCAAAAATCTGTTGAGAAATTGATTTGAAACCTTCCCTATACTTATACACAAACACATTTCAACAAAGGGGACGATTGCTCGAGGCCAGAAACTCTCTAAAACTCCCTATCACCAAAAAACCTGTCATAACTTGCAGGTTGAGACCAAGCATAGCAGTCCAGAAATCTACTCGTGCGTTTCAAGTTCTAATCACTCAAACACTTAACCTACCTCATATCTAAGTATTCTAGACCATCACCCCTTCATTGTAACTCCTCCTTCTTCATCTGCCATTTTTGTATTTCAAGCTTGCATGTTGACTTGGATAGAGAGATTCATGCACTTTCAAAGCAAGGTAAGGATTAGAACACACTCAGGGAGGTTCAGGCAAGCTAAAGGAATCTTCAGGCCTTCATAAAACTCACTCAAACTCCATTCACAATCTCAGCTGAAGGAGGTAAGAACTCTAACTTCTATCTCTTCATACAGACATCCATTGGTCACAATTTGTGAAGATAAAATATAGATATCCTTGTGCTAAAATCAACCATGTTCATAGATTTCATTTATATTCATTATGTATAGAGAATTTTAGAGTTCAAATTTATGTAAAAATTAGGTTTAAAATTAGGGCCTTTGAAATTAGTTTTGATCATTGACTGTTAGTTTACATGAGTTACATGGTTGAAATCGTGGGAAAGAGTACTATCATTTTCATGTTGGAAGTTTCCATTTTCATGGAGAAATGAGAAAGATACAGAGGTTCTGGCCAGCTTGAGGAAGAAGATGAAGTACATGGCAAGGAGGCATTATGTGTTATGTATTTTTTGTTTCATATGAACTAACGGATGTACAGCCACCTCAGTGACAAGGTAGCGCGCTGAAAATGCATAGGTCATGGGTTCGAACCTTGGCGCTACCTTTTACTTTTTTCTCATTTTTCAGCTTCATTTTTTGACATTTTTGGCAGCGTGGGCTCAGCTTATGGGCCTCTCATTTTTTCTAACACTTACCTTCCTTTCCTTTACAGCACCCCTGGCCCAATCTTTTTATTATGGCTTAAATGCAGTTTTGACCCCCCTAGTTTAAGGTTTTTGGAGTTTCGATCCCCCTAGTTTAAAAGCCAGGTTTCTAGTCCCCATAGTTTTCAAATTTGGGATTTTTGAAGCCCCCCTCCATCTGGCTGCCCAAAAAGTTTGCAAATTTGGGATTTTTGAAATCTCGTACGGGCGGATGGAAGAGGAAATTAGGTTAAGCAATTTGGGATTTTCAGAAAATATGAATTATGAAATTAAAAATTCATTTGGAAATTAATATCACTTATTTAAATGTTTAAAAAATATTATTCTAAATAAGAAATAAGAAAATAATACGTGGCATTACTCTCCCTGTGCCATGTCACATGGAGGGGGCTTCAAATTTGCAAACTATGGGCAGCCAGATGGAGGGGGGCTTCAAAAATCTCAAATTTGAAAACTATGGGGACTAGAAACCTGGCTTTTAAACTAGGGGGATCGAAACTCCAAAAACCTTAAACTAGGGGGGTCAAAACTGCATTTAAGCCTTTTATTATTTATTTTTATTTTCATTTTATTAAATATATTTTCTTTAACATAAAAAAATCATTAAAAAATATAAAACATGATAAATATTGCATTTTGATTTATTTTATATACTAACTATTTTTCTTAAACAAACTTCTAAAATAAAATAGACTTTAGATATATTTTATTCCTTCTCCTTCATACTTGTAAATATTTATTTTGACATATAAAAAGACTAAATATTTTCATAAATATTATTTATTATTTTAAAGACAAAAAAATACACAAAAAATAATACTTAAAGAAGTTTATTTTCCTTTAATAAACTAAAATTAGGGTTAATCAATGTATAAAAATAATTTCCTTTTATTATTAGGTTTATTTCAAAACTCTTTTTCATATAAAAAACAAAAACACAAATCTTTTTTTCTTGCATATACATACAATTGCATATTTAATTTATATTGTATATTATTTATTCCAATATTCGTGCAAATTCGATTTGGTTGTAATAGTTTAATTAGATTTACATTATTGCAAATCCCCATTCATAATTTGTATCCCCCTTCCATAAAATGTTGTAATAGCGTAGCAATCTTTAAATTACGCAATTTATCGCTTTTACATAACATGCTAGTAATTAGGGTTTGCATGGCAAGATAAAAACAAATCAAATAGAAAACCCTAATCCAAGATCAAATCAAGCATGAAAATAACACACTTGCACACAAGCACCCTTAGGGTTACTCCACTTGGTTGCCTTACACAAAAATGGCCATATTACGCATGTGAAGTATCTTGGTAAAACAAACAAATATAAGATCATAGTCCCTCGATGACGCTACTCAAAGTTGCCTTATAAAATGATCTTGGTCCCTCAAAAATGTTAAGATACTTTGCAACATTGCTAATCATGGTTATACAATGACCCACGCCTGTCTCGTTTACATCCAAAGATAGGGTTGCTTACCAAATCAATGGTAAGACAACAATATCAAAGGAAAAGAAAATGAATAAGAAAGACATTTGAGTAGGTAGATTACTTATAGTTACTTGCTCCATTTTAAACAACTATCCTTGCTATTTTCAAAACAAACACACACATTTCAAAACATCTTACAAACATTGAAAACATTTTCAAAAAAGACAAACATCTTTGTATACATTCTTACGAACGAGAATCATTACAAAGATTGCCTAAACAATGGCCTATTTTACAAAATACTTTCAAAACCACACAAAGCACAATTTCAAAACAAAAGCAAGTGATCTAACAAGTAACTAAGAGCCTATGGAAAACCATGGATGAAAAGGGTGTTAATATCTTCCCTTTTCATAATCTACCCCCGAACTCAAGAAACAATCTCAAATGTCTTTCCTGTGCTTTTTCACCTTTTCTTTTTGGATAAAAGAAAAGTCGGGGGCGACTCTTACTAACCGCAACATTTGCGATAAAACGCAAGTCAGTTCTCCCACCGTATCATATATATATATATATATATATATATATATATATATATATATATATATATATATATATATATATATATATATATATATATATATATATATATATATATATATATATATATATATATATATATATATATATATATATATATATCCAAAAACTCTCAAATACGAAATATTAAATTATTTCAGATATCTTTTAAAAATTCAAAATTGAGTTATTTCAAATATATATTTTTAAAAACCTTATGAAAATAAAATATTGTGTTATTTCGACATACATATCTAAAAATAACCTTAAAAATCTAAAATTTGATTACTTAGAAAATGCATTTCTAAATTCTAAAAATATATTATAGAAATTTCGTGTGGAAATAAATCCACTTTGTAGATTTCAATTTAAGAAGAGTGACAAGAATTTTATTTTTCCACGCATGACATGTTACATGGTATTGTTCGTTCCTGTCACCCCGTTTTTCACCTAAACCGCAGCAGCAGCAGCTTCTTTAGAATCCCATCATCAAAATCACTTTCCAACTTTTCTTCATCTTCTTCAACTCATCATCATCATCATCATCATCATCATCATCCAATGGTTTCTCTTCTTGTTGCAACAACAATCGACCCGGCTTCAATCAACCCGGCCAATGCCCTGCTAGCCCTACCAGGATGGCTACCCGGACCCCATTTTCAGGTTCAAACCACCAAAAACCAACTTCTTTTTCTTGTTTACTCTCTTAGTAATGTTTTGTAGTAATTGGGGGGTTTGTGGATTTAGGATGATATGAAGAGTTTTGTGAATCAAGGGTTGAGGGTTTTGGTTCACGGAAAGAGTATTGTGGTAGAAGATAATTTGGATGAAAGGTGGGAAAAGGTTACTGGAGAGGTTGTTGATGAAGTTATCTTCTTAAGTAAACACACTGCTGCTTCTAATAAACCCGCTCTCACTGTTCATCCTATTGGTATTTTTTAACTCACCTTTTCATTCTTTCTGCCTCGCCATATCATTACCATCACCGACTGTGTGTTTTTGCAGGAGTTCCTCATTTGCGTGAAGGTGACGTTCCACCTCAAGGTGGCAAACCAGGATGGGCAGCACTGCCAAATCCTAGGATTGGACCTTGGATTCGACTTTTGAAAAATATTGCTCAAGCTCATTATCTACTCCCTGAATTTGAGGTTCTTTTCTTATATATTATATCTCTCAGCCTAACATGGTTATTTGAGGTTCTTTTTCTGTTTTCAGTATTGGAGCAAGAGGTTTTGAGTTTTGAAAAGCACTTCTTGAATAATTTTTATGTGTTTCCTCAATTTAGATTACTTTGGAGGCCACTCATCACGGACCTTTGACAAACAAGCCAACCATGTTTCTCGAGATTGGTGAGATCTCTTTCTCTCCTCCTAGATGTATTTTAGATTGATACATCTATTGTATACTCTATTCATTCTTCAGAGTTAACAAGAGTTACAAAAGATGTCAACGGTTAACTACAATTTGAGCATAGGTTAACAACTTTATTTCTTCTGTTCTGGTATAGGTAGTACTGAAGACTATTGGAAGAGACAAGATGCTGCTCAAGTTATGGCTCAGGTTGAGTTTACTTTTCTACTTTTCATAACCTTTGCATCAATATGTATAGCTTCTCTGCATGGATACATTTTTCTTTTGTTGCAAAAAGCTAAATGCTTTGTGCAAAATTAATCTGGCTAGTAGTATTTTATTTTGTTTAATGAAATGATGTTGTTTTCAAATTCTTACAGTTAGTTTGGGAAGGACTTGGACTTGGAGGAGGGACTGATGTTGGGAACTGGAGCAGGTAGAATGATTATGTTAAGAAGTTGTACCAATGTTTAGTTGAGATTGACTTATTTGAGTTTCTCTACTGATAGAAACATGAGATTGTTTGTGAGGGCTTATGAAAATAATTAATGACATGTGCATAAGTTGTTTTCAGTTTATTTCCTTAAGCTCTTCAAGATAGCTTATGAAAAGAGGTTATAGTTTTTTGTATGAAAACAATTTTATTTTAGTTTGTCATTTGCTACAGAAATAAGCAAATCTATGCTATAATCACTTAATTAAGTGCCTTCCTTCTACAATCGGTGAAGATTTTCTAATCTGAATCTAAATTTGACACTCCTACAGGGCAAATGGTAAGAAGAAAGTCCTTCTTGGGATAGGCGGTGGACATTATGTGCCTAGACATATGGATGTAATACTGTAAGTAATCATTTTCAGTGAACATGGAATTGAATTTTCTGATTATGTCAATGTGAGGTTAGAAACTATTCTCAAGTCTCAACATCTTTAACAGTTAACTTTTGAGTTATTTTGAAAACCCGTTACTTTACTCGGATATTTACATAGAGTTTTGCAATCTAACCTTACTGCCTTATAAAAGGAATAGATAAGCATTTAAAAGAAACGTGAAAATAATACTTGCTTTTCGTTTGCGATATAGGAAAGATGATGTTTGGGCTGGTCACCTACTTTCGGGATATTCAGTGCCAATGGAAGATCCAAAAGGAGAAACAAATGTGGAGATTGGAGGAACTTGGAAACAGTCTATAAAAGCTGCATATGAGGCCACTAAATCTGCTTTTCCTGGTGGAGAAATTCTTGCACACCTTGATCAAAAGTAAGCTTAACGAGACATTATCCTTCTGAAAACAGTTGTTTACATGCATGCAAAGCATTAACCGAAAGCTATATGATAATTGAGGGCTCAAAAGTTCATAAAAAATCATCTGCAACCACAACGCATGAAAGTTTTTGTTAATAGACCATAATGCTTTTACTTTTTGCTCAAGCTATTATATACTCTGAAATTTATCGCAGGAGCTTCAAGGGATGGCAGAAGAATGCCATAACAGGATTCCTTGCAGAGCAGAATATTAAAATTGGAAAGCCAAATAACTTCTATTGAGTATCGATTTTAGAGTATGATACTACTGAATACACAAATTGCAAACAGAGGCAGACTGAAATTTTTTGTAGACCAGAATAGCACTAAAAGTGATTTTGTTATGCAGTAATTTGAAGATGATATTTTTGAGATTTTTAAGGAAAAGCACAAGTTGTTTTGGTTTGTTTACAATTAGAAAAAGTGATTTTGTATTTCTATTTACTATAAGTAATTTTGAGGTGCTGTAGAATTTGGAGAATTGTACTCTAGATCATTGGTGAAAAATGTATGACAGATTAATGTGAATTTATTTTCCTTGGCAATATATTGTGTTAAAGATATGTACAATAAAATATAGTTAGTTTCATGGCGATAAATCTGCTGCTGAGTTCATTATACTATAAAACAACTCATTAGTTTGGTAAATGAGGAAACTAAAAGGAAAATTATTTGTAGAGTTCTCGTTTTGATATATAGAAAAACACATTATACCTTTTGGTTCTCCAACTAGGGGTTTTGTTTTGCGGTGTATAATATGGTGGGAGAATTGACTTGATTGTTTTGCGTTTGATCGTAATTGTTGTGGATAGCAAGAGTCGTCACCGACTTTTCTTTTATATAATAAAGGAAAAAGTGAAAAGAACAAGAAAGATCTTTCGAGATATTTTCTTGAGTTCGGAGGTAGGTTATGAAAAGGGAAAGTGTTAGCACCATTTTCATCCGTAGTTATCTACTGACTCTTAGTTGTTTGATCACTTTGAAAATGTTTTGTTTGGAATGTGTTTGTGATGTTTTTGAAAGTATTTTTGGAAAACGCATTCGTTTAGGCAAACTTTGTAATGATTCTCGTCTCTATAAGAATGCATACAAAGTGTTGGACTTTTTGAAAATGTTTGGTGTGTTTGAAAAGATGTTTGTTTTTGGAGATAGATTGTGAGCAAGCAACTACGAACGTTCTACCTACTCAAAAAGTCTTAGCTCTTTTCTTCCTCCTTTAGATGTTGTTATCTTACCATTGATTGGTACGAAGCTCTATCATTGGATGTGAAGGGACGAACGTGGGTCATCGTATAGTCATAGAAGACAACATTGTAGGATACCTTAGCAATTTGAATTTGAACTGTTGTGTTGGCTGTTTTTGAGCTTAGGAAATGGTAGTAGTGATGCTACAGAAGTTGTTCTTGTGTTTGAACAACTCCTATAAGATGTATGCGAAGTGTTTGGATGACTTGTTTGCACAGAACTTTGCAAGGTGTGAGAGGTTCAAAGTTTTTTACTTCAAAACTCAAGAGCGAAGGCTTTGTGGACAGTTATGGTTTTTTGAGAGTATGAGATTTTGAGGGCTTGTCTACACAATAAAACTTCTGGCCTTTTATCTTGCAAATGACTTCTCTATTTATATAGAAGGTTTGGGACTTGAAACAACTCAGATTTTGAAATCACATGTTATGGCTATCTTGCTTGTTTTTGAAGCAAGCATGAAGAACATGTTTTCAATGTTTGTACCCAGCTATCTAAAGTGTTTGATCACTTTAAACATGTTTGTTCTGACTTGTAGAAGTTGAGTGTGATCAAACAACAAGTTAGAGGCTCAAGAAATTGACTTTGTGATTAAAGTGAACTTTTCAAGAATGGATATGTTACTTTCTTCCAAAAATGGAATGATCAATTGGACAAAGGTTCAAACACTTGGATCATAGTTTAACCAGTTGTGTAATTATTTAATTAAGGAGTGATATACAAGTTTGAGGCCTACAAAATGAAGATTATGCAGCATGGCTATGAATTTGGTTCTTGTTCATCACAAAACCTCCCTTGTAATTCAAGAATGACACCTTAACTTCACGGTTTTGATTCTCTTAGCTCAAGTATGATCTCAATGAGTTCTTGAATATTTTGGAAAGCTTGTAACATCCTATACAACCTTTATATTTTTTATTTTTGAATAATCCAATTGGAACTTTATGAAAATTGACCAAGAAGTTGGGATAAAAACCTGACCAAACATGCTGACAATTTCTCTAAGTGTTTATACAAAAATGCCATGACTTCATGAATTTATAACTCAAAATCCAAGCACTTATAGGACTTGATCAGAAAAGCAAAGTTGTAGATATCATCAAGATCTACAACTTTCATGTTAAAAGTTTTATTTGAATCATCTTGCATCTTGGTGAAAGAATGGCATGAAGTAATAAAGTTATCATGTATAAAAAAATACTTAGAAAAATTTCTAAGTCTTGAAAAGTTTGACTTTTCACATTGACTTTTGACCTTCTTGGTTTCTTGATGATCAAACTTCATATTTTTGAATATCTTGATGAATTATGATCTATGAAATTTAATGTTGACCAAAAAGTCAAAGTTTGACTTTTGGCGTATCAGTTGACTTTTTATCAGTACAATTGATTTTTGGTCATCTGGTCAATTGACTGAGCAGAATTTATGATATAAGATTTGAAATTTGACATGAGCATTCTTGAAGGTCCATAATGATCCATGAAATTCATTTGAAGTATTAGAAGTCCAATTGTCCTTGTGCAAGCTTAAACTCTAATTTTGAGGTATCAGTGTTGAGTAGATGTCTTGACCTAGTCAATCTTTATGCAAGCTTGAGCTTTTGCATATCTTTGTTAGAAATGTCTTGAGAAAAGAGATGGAAAATTTTGGGGTACAACACGGTGGAATTATAAATAGATAACCCTAAATCTCCGAAATCCAGCCCCGGTACATTTTGAATCTCCATGGCACTCAAGCGGTCTTCTAATTGCTTGTATCTGTCAGCAGCAGGAGGGTATTGTTCGTCATTGTAATCCGTCTCGTTGTCAGAGACTGCAGGACTAGGAGCCCCTCCCCCTTGGGGACTGTCTTTCTCTGCAGAGGAAGTAGTTGGATCAGCCTCGTTATGGAGTGTGTTCCCAAACCTGCGTCCAGTGTTGAATAACGCAGTCCTCTTCTTCTTCTTCTTCTTTAGGAGCAAAGCCTTCAACTCTTGTTGACCTTGAGCCAGGCTCACGACCATCTCTTGAAACTGGGTACTCTGGGCCTGGAGGGCCTTGATAGCTTGCTCACTGGATGATTCTGGATTCATGATGACTGTTCAAAAATAAACAGCGAAGGAGATTAAGCAACCTGTAGAAAAAGGGGTACCTGTTATGCACATGATGCATGAGATGTTATCTATGCAATGCATTCAAGGATTTTAGAAATTCACAATTGTTGCAGACAAAAAGAACGCACGTCATATTAATAAGAAGAAGTTTGTTAGTACATAAGTGCCCCATGGGCCAAATATTACAAAAACAACTTCTCAAGGTAAAAAGACGTTGCGCATCCTCTTTGGCGCAATGTAGGTGTTGAGGGCCTCTTGCTCAAGGAGTCGGCGGGTGAGCTCTAGAACCTTCTTTTCGCTGGCGTAGAAGCTGGCTTCAAAAGTGTTTCGTTCCTCCTTGAGCTGGATCCAACTCTTCTGCATCTCCTCCCACGATGTAGGCATGTCAGGATGTAGGATGGTGTAGGGAACCTCTCCTTCCTTGACGGACTCTTTAATTACAGGGATAACATGAGGATAAGGCATCATTAGACTCTGGGCTCGGGCTTGTACCCACTTGAGATAAGGCTCAAGAGGGATGGAGTTCTTGTGCCCCAGTGTCTTGCTATCAACCTTGTTGGGCCTCCCCCAAGCTCTGATGAATCTTTGGCGAAGTCCTTGCGCATCATTGTCGAAGTCAAAAACTAGGTCAGGAATCAGCATGTCGTGAGGGCCATCTCTCCGTGCATATCCAAATTGCCTCAAAGCTAGGCAAGGGTTGTAGGTGATGCCTCCTCTGATTCCAAGTAAAGGAACATTAGGAAACTCCCCACAACGATCGACGATGATGACATTTTCTCTGGACCGAGAACACCAATGTACATCAGAGTGAGTAAGAGTCATCAACCGTTGGGACCACCTTGAGCCTTGGTCATTCTTCAAGACAGATTGTGGAAGGTGCGAAATAAACCACCTTGCAAGGAGAGGAGTACAACACATGAGAACACCCCTCTTTCTCATTGTTCGTGTGTAAAATGAGTGAAGAATGTCCCCAAGTAATGTTGGTATTGGATTTCTGGATAAGAAGATTTTAACGGCGTTGACCTCTATAAGCTGGTCAGGATTTGGGAACAAGACCAACCCATAGATAAGGAGTGCCATAATTTCTTCAAAGGCTTGTAGGTCCAATGAATTCCAACATTCTTGTGCCTTCTCAAACAAGAATTTTGCTAGGAAACCTTTGACGCCGCTTCTAGTTTCCCAATGCCCCTTGATGTCAGAAGGCTGTAGATGTAATGCTCGAGCAACATCTTCAGGCTTTGGTTCCTTTTCCGTACCGTTGAAAGGTAGTTGATTAAGGATAGGAATCCTCATGAGTTGAGAAAATTCCTCCAAAGTGGGCACCAACTGGTAGTCGGGGAAAGTGAAACAGTGATGAAGAGGGTCAAAGAACTGGAATAGAACTTTCATCATGTCTTCTTCAATGTTGGTGTTGACTAAGCTGAGCAGTCTACCATGTCTTTCACTGAAGGATGAGCTTTCCGGAATTCTTGATGTGAACTCCTTGAGTTGAGGAGGGATTCTCACAAGGTTGACTTGGATGGTTTTTCTGCGAGGAATTTCCATGACCTACAAAACAAGAACAAAGATGAAGATCTAAACCCTTGAAGTGGTTAGTAAATGCATATGATGCTTTATGATGTTCATGATGTATGCACAAGTATATGTACAAGCAATTCACACCAAACCCTAGTTTCAGGCTTGCATGGGGTTTCATAGGTAAGTACCCTCTTGAGTGTAGTTGGCTTAAAAACCTGTCCTATAAATAGTAAACGGGTTCTAAGGAGCTCAATATTACTAGATTGTTTTCATTGTTCATTGTTTTGGTTTAGCCACTTAACTAGCGACCAAAATATTCCAAGAAAACAACCCTCAACGAGTGTAGTATCGAGTATCTACCAACTTCGGACTGCACCAAAGCCGGTCATCT